GCTGCCATTTCAGACTCTAGTCTGGCTGTGGGGTCAGCATGCCTGATACAGATCAAGTGGGCACTCTGCAACTACAGATGTCTAAGGCAGGAAAACAAGACTGCCAGCTTGTGGCAGCTCCAACAATGATCCTCAAAGGCTGATCTTGACCTCTAACCCTGGCTAAGGAGAAAAGGGACCCCCACACAGCCTCATGGGAGAGAGGCCCTTCAAATTTTTTACTTATTTACTCACTTCGTGGTAATTTAGCAAGCTCTATGTCAGGCAGTGAATAGAATGCTGCCCTGCCCACTTTTGTTGTCTTCAGGGGAACAGATCTTGTTAGGGGCACAGAGGGACCTGCTTGTGGCTAGAGTGGCCTGGTTTTAGAGGAATGTGAATGGGGCTAAGGGAAGGAATATGTATAGGCCTGGGGAAGGATGAGCCTTAGTCGGCCTGGGGAAGTGGGGCAGGCTTTTCAGAAAAGGTGAGACTGGAGCCATAAGTAAAGCGGCAGCGGACATTTGGGCAAAAGCAGAGTTTTTTGGGGGTGGGGTATCAGTGCTATAGGATCAGTTCTCAGGGTTCGATAGCTAGGTCCCTTTGGGTGCAGGTGACTACACAGAGAAATCCAATTGTCCTTGAGTCACATTCAGATAAGTTGGCTACCTTGAATGCCTTTCTAAACAGAAACATAGAAAATCAACAGCCCAGCCTGTGAACTTCAGGTTGTAAGTAATTTCTACAAATGTTAAGCCCTTATTTGGTGTACTGATAAATGCTTGTAATTGAGGGTGATGAATTCTGGATTAGAGTTTCATATGCTGTAATTACTAGCTGAGTTTACTTGGTCAAGTTACTTTACTTTTCCCAGTCCCAGTTTGCATGTAGGCAAAATGGGGAATTATAATTGGATTATGTGGATTAGATAGGATCATTCCTGTGGAAGTATTTTGTATTCCGTATTACTAGGAAAGTACAGCCACTAGTTTTCTTCTTAATTATGTCTACTATAAAAATGAAAACATTGTAGGGGTGTCTGGGTGGCTCAGTCGGTTAAGCATCTGCCTTTGGCTCACGTCATGATCCCAGGGTCCTGGAATGGGGCCTCTCATAGGGCTCCCTGCCCATTGGGGAGTCTGCTTCTCCCTCTCCTTCTTCTCCTGCCCCCTGCTCATGCTCTCTCTGTCTTTCAAATAAATAAGTAAAGTTAAAAAAAAATGAAAACCTTATGGCCAGCTTATAAGAAGTTTTAGGACCAGAAGTCTAAAGTTGTAGTTCTGCAATTCATGGATTATCTAACTTAATTTTCCACTTAAAAGTACCATGAGATATGGGTGCTATTATTTGCTTCATTTTATCAGTAAGACAGAGGAGACTCAGAGAGATTAAGTCATTTGCCCAAGGTCACACAGGGTTAGGACTGGGATTTGAATCCAGATAGACTGAGTTCATAGCCTTTCTGAAATAACCAGAATTCTCCAGAGTGTTTAATGTTTCTGACTCCAAATTTTAAATAAATAAATAAATATTTTTCTCCCCCAACTCCTACATTTTATTTTTAAAAATATTTATTTTATAGAGAGAGCTCTTGTGGGCTAGTTGTAGGGGAGGGCCAGAGAGAGAGGGAGAGAGAGAATCTCAGGCAGACTCCCGCCTGAGTGCAGAGCCTAATGTGGGGCTCCATCTCAGAACCCTGAGATCTTGACCTGAGCTAAAATCAAGAGTTGGACACTTAATTGACTGAGCCACCCAGGTGCCCTGACTCCTACTAAATTTTTTTTTTTTAAGATTTTATTTGTTTATTTGACAGAGAGAAACAAAGCAAGAGAGGGAACACAAGCAGGGGGAGTGGGAAAGGGAGAAGCAGCAGGCTTCCCGCTGAGCAGGGAGCCTGATGCGGGGCTCCATCCCAGGACCCCAGGATCACGACCTGAGTTGAAGGCAGACGCTCAACGACTGAGCCACCCGGGCGCCCCTTTCTTTTTTCATTTTTAAGGATCCCCAAAACTCAGATTATTTAGTGTGGTGTTGCAGTTAGTTACATTAATTATTCTCTTTGGTGCTAAAATTATCTCAAATTTAGCTAGTGGGAGGCCCTTTAAACCGGGTTTTTTGTTCTTTTGACACACTTCTATTAGTCCTTGAGTATTTTCTTTTTTTCTGGCACTACTTAGAAGGCCCACGTTTATTTTGCCCATGTCATCCTCCTCCCTGGAGTCCGTCATTTTTCCAAGGAGGCCTAATTCCTTTTCGGTGGAGGTAGTGTTTAGAAGTAAAGCTCTGGGCACTGGGTGTGTTTGTTGCTGCTAGAATGTTATTGCTTTTAGGTCTTTTCAATGGGTAGAGCTAAGAAATAAAATTTTTTAAAAGTTGAGAGTTCATTTTGGTATTTCCAATTTAAATTTACTATTTTGTAATTTATATTTTGATTTTTTTGCCTTTTCTCTTATTTTGAAAATCTTTGTTTTATTTCTAAAATTCAATTTTTAATCAATCAATTAATTAATTAATTTTAGAGGGGGGTAGGGAGAGAGAATCTTATGCAGTCTCCATGACCCTGAGATCATTACCTGAGCTGAAATCAAGAGTTGGACACTTAACTGACTGAGCCACCCAGGCACCACTGTGAGTTCCTTTTTAATACTCCTGCAGTATAGTTTTCTACATTTTAAATTATTTTTATATACATACAGTAAAATTCTCCCTTTTTTGGCATACATGCCTATGAGTTTTAACACATCTATAGATTCTTATAAGCATCACAGCTTACAGGATAAGGAGAACACCTAAAGAATTCGCTTATGCTATATCTTTGCCAGTATATAATTATTTGATTTTATTATTTTTTTAAGATTTTATTTATTTGTTAATTAATTTATTCTTTGAGAGAAAGAGAGCACATGAGTACATGCTGCAAGTTGGGGGTGGAGGGGCAGAGGGAGAGGGAGAGAGAGAATCCTAAGCAGGCTCAGGCTCATCTCAGAGCCTGATGTGGGGCTTGATCTCAGGACCCTGAGATCATGACCAAGCCAAAGTCAAGAGTCGTATGCCCAACTGACTGAGCTACCCAGGTCCCCCAAGATTTTATTTTTATGTAATCTCTATATCCAGTGTGGGGTTCAAACTCACAACCCCGAGATCGAGGGTCGCATGCTCCACTGACTGAGCTAGCCGGGTACTCCTGATTATTTTTTTATTTATCTGTCTTTCCTACTAGAATGCAAGCTTAATTGAGGGCTGGTGGGATAGGTTGCGTTCTCTGAGAAGCAATGCAGTTGATTGATTTGGAAACTCCCCCGTAGGGGGAAAGGGGGAGTAAGGGAGTGAGGGGAAGAGGCTGGGAGAGCTCTCGGACTGTCTTGGAAGTCTTACCCCTGGCGGGGGAGAGAAAAGGAAGGTAGAATGTTTTCCATTGAGTACAGTTTTCAGAAAGTTTTGGCAAAGGAGGGGCGCCTGGGTGGCTCAGTCGTTAAGCGTCTGTGTTCGGCTCAGGTCATGATCTCAGGGTCCTTGGATCGAGCCCCGCATCGGGCTCCCTGCTCCGTGGGGGGCCTGCTTCTCCCTCTCCCACTCCCCCTGCCTGGGTTCTCTCTCTCTCTCTCTCTCTCGCTGTGTCTCACTCTGTCAAATAAATAAATAAAGTCTTTAAAAAAAAAAAAGAAAGTTTTGGCAAAGGAGATGGGGATTTCTCAAGTCAATGTTGCTGTCAAAAGAGTCTTGTCTCTCACGAAGAGTCTTAGTATACCTGCTCACTCAATCCTTGGCGGGGAGCAGCCCTAAGGAAGTGTGGAGATGGTACAGAGGTTGGATGGGTTTAGAGCCTTTGTAGCTGGGGTCAGTTACTCTCTACTTGATAAGGATGCGATGGGTGCATTTGCAAGGCAGCCATTAGTGGGCTATCAATTTTGTTTGCTGATATATTTCTAGTGCCTGAAAATTGCACCTGGCATATAATATGTAATCAATAAAGTATTTGTGGACCAAGTTCCAAATGATTGTAGGAAAACATTTTTCTAGGTTATTCTGATTGCTTGCATCTTAAGCCGGAGAGAATTTTTTTTTTTTTTTTTGATATTGCAGAATTAGATAGCAATTATGTGCAGGACTGACTGTGCCAGGCTCCCCATATGCAGCTTCTCCATTAAATCTTCTCTGCAAGCTATGTTGTTTATTGTTTCAATTTTATAAATGAGGGAAGAAACCAAGGCTCACAGAGGTAAAAGTCCTTTGTTCTAAATTACACAGCTAGTGTGTGGTGGAGCTGGGATTGAACCCCTGTTGATCTGACTCCAAAGACTGGCTGTGCCTCTCAGGTGATTCCTTTCCCTAGTGATCTTTTTCTGAGTGCTCTTCCATATTTCCTGGATTTGCTGCTAGGTTGAAAAAAAAAAAAGGCATGAAAAGGGTTAAAGTACTTTTCAAAACCCATGTGACAGTAGATGTGTATGAAGATATAAATGTGACCCAGAGTGGGTGAGTGGGTCTTTCTGGATTAATGCTTTGATATTTTTAATAGGACTGTATCTTTGATTTATTTTGTCTGTGATGCTTATACGGAAGCCTGGTTTCTCTCTTACCTTGTCTACTATACATATACTTAGGTTGAACAATAGCAATGGTAGCTAACATTTATCAGAGATTTGTTGTGTGTCAGGTACGATGCTAATTGCCTTAATTGCTTTACATGAGGTATCTCATTTAATCCCCAAAAGCAAGGCCATTTGGAACTGAATCTCAGAAGTAAAATGACTTGCCCAAGATCACAGGTTTTTTTTTTTTTAATTTTATTTTTAAGTAATCTTTTTTTTTTTTAAGATTTTATTTATTTATTTGACAGAGAGAGAGAGACAGAGAGCACAAGCAGGGGGAGCAGCAGAGGGAGAGGGAGAAGCAGGCTCTCCGCTGAGCAGGGAGCCCAATGCGGGGCTTGATCCCAGGACCCTGAGATCATGACCTGAGCCGAAGGTAGACGCTTAACGATTGAGCCACCCAGGCGCCCTATTTTTAAGTAATCTTTACACCCAACGTGGGGCTTGAACTCCACAACCCTGAGATTAAGAGTCTCATGCTCTTCCAACTGAGCCAGCTGGGCACCCCACTAAGATCACAGATTAATCACTGATGAATCTGAGACTTAACTTGGTTTTGTTAGAAAAGTGTTTTATGTATACCTTACCAAAATTCGTTTGTAAATTATCCAAACCAGCTTTTCCTTTCTAAATTCTAGGGTCCCAAAGAAATCACAGGATTAGAATTTTTATTATTTAGAGAGGGGAGTTTGTAAAATACAGATTTAGATTTTCCATGGAGATTGTTAGTTCTCAAAACAGTTTATCTCACCATTCAGGCTATGGATTATTGATAAGAATTCGTGTTTTAATTTTGGACCTACCACTTTGGGGCACAATTTTCCAGATATCCATTTACTACTCTATGGATGGTGTTATCCTACCTGTCCACTTTACCTCTAGGGTTATGCAGATGAACTGATTAGCTTGTGAGAGTCTGCAGTCTCCTCGCAATGATGTTTGGTGGCTAGAACAGAAACTGCTAGTTCTGCCACCCTCTGCCTTGTTCCCTTCATCTGTCAGCAGCACACCATCTGCCTCCAACAGTAGGCCTGGCCTTCTCTCTTCTTGCCCAGAACATGGTGAAAAACTCCTTCTGTCTGTTGCTTTCCTGACTCTATGGCACATTTCCACTGCTTTGTTTCCATATAAGTTGATCGTGGTCTCCTTCCACTTTTTGTACAAAGGATTTTAAAATCTGAGTTGCATAATGTCCTTAGCTCTCCTCTTAATTTTTTTTTTGTTTTGTTAGAATTATTTGCACTGATCAAGTCTGAGTTCCTCCTTCTTACCTCTTCACTTCTTGTACTATCCTTTTTTTCCCCTTTATTTTATTTTTTTTTTTTAAAGTAATTTTTCACTGGGGCACCTGGCTGGCTCAGTCAGTGGAATGTGACTTTTGATCTCGGGGTTGTGAGTTAGATCCCCACATTGCAAAAATAAAATCTTACAAAAAATAAAAATAATTTTTCATTTCTGAGCTTTTCACATACATGTATTGAGTGTCTGCTTTGAGTCAGACACTAAGCTACACACTGTGGAATGAAGAAAAATCATGTAGGCCTCTCAAGAAGTTTAGAGGCCACTTGGGTATTTGGCTCTGGCTTTTAGCATTGCCAGCAAATGATGTTAATCATATATTCTCATGCCTACGTCTTTGCTAATAGCTCACATTTATTGAGGGATTTATTCTTTGCCAGGAACAAGTCTAAAGGCATTACGTGTTACACCCTGTATAATTCTCATAACACTACGAGGTGTGGGTATTTTTATTATTCCCATTTTATACATGAGGAAACAGGCACAGGGCAGTTAACTCAGTTGCCCAAAGTTGCACAACTAGTAAGTAATGAATTTGGGACTTGAATCCAGGTAGTCTGGCTTCTGAGTTTGGCAGGGTATGACTCTGATCCCCATGCTGTGTCTTGTACCTAGGATACAAAGTGAAGTTTTTGAAATTAATTATATCATAAAGTGATACTTAACTCTGTATGGAGTTCCATTTATAACCCCCTGAGGGAGAACAGTTAATTTCGTTTGTGGGACTTTTAGAAGGCTTCACAGAGGTGTCTTATGCCAAGGCATTCATTCAATGCTAGGTGCTGGAGATAGAGCCTTGATTAAGACAGATGTAGTCTCGGATCTTTAGGAGCTGACATTTGGTGGGGGTAGATGGACCATAAACAAACAGACCCATACCTATAAGGTTAGGTGGTGATAAATGCTAGAAAGAGAAATAAGTACTTACAAGTGGACAAGAGTCTGACATGGTGTGTGTATGAGGGGTGTTTTTTCATATAGAAGGTATTCAGGGAAGATCTTTCTATTAAGGAGACATTGGAATAGAGATGCAAAGTGAGTGAGGGAGTGAGCCAGGTGGATATCCAGGGGAAAAGGGTTTCAGGCAGAGGCAACCAAGGCACAGCATGCTGGGCATGTTCAAGGAGGGTAAAGATTAATGGTGCCAGAGGTAGGAGATGAGTCCACAAATGTCAACAGGAGCCAGATCTGGCCATACTTGGGGATTTGGACTTTATTCTGAATGTAATAGGAAGTCATTGAAAGATTTTAAACAGGGAAGTGACATTATCTGATTTCAGTTATTAAAAGTGGGTGTGGTTATTTTGTGTAGAATATGCTATAGGCAGGCATGGAAAGAAAGAGGGAGAATAGTGAGGAGTCTTTTGAAGTAGTTTGAATTTTTTTTTTTTTTAAGATTTTATTTATTTATTTGACAGAGACACAGCGAGAGCAGGAACACAAGCAGGGGGAGTGGGAGAGGGAGAAGCAGGCTTCCCGCTGAGCCCGGAGCCCGATGTGGGACTCGATCCCAGGACCCTGAGATCATGACCTGAGCCGAAGGCAGACGCTTAACGACTAAGCCACCCAGGCGCTCTGTAGTAGTTTTGAATTAAAGGTGATAGTTGCTTGAACAAAAAAAGCAGTGATGGAAATGATGGGAAGTGGTCAGAATCTGAGTATTTTTTGAAGGTATAGCTGACAGATTTGCAGATGATGTTGTGAGAGACAGAGAAGAGTCAAGGGTGACTCCAAGGGTGTTTCGTCTAAGTACTAGTAGAATTACTATTTGCTGAAATGGGGAAAATCAGCTATTTGGTTTTGGACATGTTAAATATGGCATTCCTTTTAGATAACCAAATGGAGATTGTTGAGCAGATGGTTGAATAACTAACTGAGTCAAGCATTGAGGTGTGAGCTCTGGGTTAGAGATAGAAATTTGGGAATTGGCAGTGAGTACTTGGGATTTAAAAAAAATAGATTTTATTTTTTAGAGCAGCTTTAGGTTTGCAGCAGAATTGAGCAGAAAGTACAGAGAAGGCCCATCCCTTGCCCCCTCACACTCTCATTGCTTTCCCCACTATCAGCACCCTGCAGGAGAATGGTACATTTGTTACAATTCATGGACCTACATTGATCCATCATGATCACCCAAATTCTGTAGTTTACATTAGGGTTCACTTTTGGTGTACAATTTTTGGGTTTGGACAAATTTATAATGACACATATCCACTGTTTAGAGTATTATACAGAATAGTTTCACTGCCCTAACAATCCTCTGTGCTTTGGGGCGCCTGGGTGGCTTAGTCATTAAGCGTCTGCCTTCAGCTCGGGTTGTGATCCCGGGGCCCTGGGATTGAGCCCTGCATCGGGCTCCCTGCTCTGCGGGAGGCCTGCTTCTCCCTCTCCCACTCGCCCTGCTTGTGTTCCCCTCTCTTGCTGTCTCTCTCTGTCAAATAAATAAAAATCTTAAAAAAAAAAAAAAAAGCCTCTTCAAGTGTTGCTGTCTCCTAAACCCTGGCAACCACTGACCTTTTTACTGTCTCCATAGTTTTATCTTTACCATAATGTCATCAGTTGAACATACATTCAGTACGTAGCCTTTTCAGATTGGCTTTTTTTTCCATTTAGTAATATGCAGTTAAGGTTTCTTCATGTCTTTTCATGGCTTGATAGCTCATTTCTTTTTAACATTAAATAATATTACATTGTCAGAATGTACCACAGTTTATTTATCCATAAGTTTTCAACTCATTTGGGTAAATACTAAAGAATGTGATTGCGGGGTGCCTGGCTGGCTCAGTCGGTAGAGCATGCAACTTTTTTTTTTTTAAAGTAGGCTCCACATGCAGTATGGTGCCCAACATGGGGCTTGAACTCACAACCCCAAGGTCAGGACCTGAGCTGAGATCAGGAGTCACTTAACCGACTGAGCCACCCAGGTGCCCTGAGCGTGCAACTCTTGATCTTAGGATCGTTAGTTCAAGCCCCCACCCAAAAAAAAAGATAGTATGTGATTGCCAGATCATATGGTATGTTCAGTTCTGTAAGAAACTGCCAAACTCTTTGAAAGTGGCTGTACCATTTTGCATTCCTGCTACCTGTGAATGAGAGTTACTGTTACTCCACATGCTCACCAGTATTTGGTGTCATCACTGTTTTAGATTTTGGTCATTATAATAGGTAAATAGTGGTATCTCATTGTTATTTAAATTTTGCAATTTCCCTAACGAAATATGTTGAATAGGTATCTTTTCATATGCTTGTTTTCCATCTCTGTGTATTCTTTGGTGAGGTGTCTGTTAAGGTCTTTTGCCCAGTTTTTGTTTGTTTCTTTGTCTTATTGTTGAATTTTAAGAGTTCCTTGTATATTTTGGATAACGGTTCTTTATCAGATGTGTTTTCATGAGGCTGGATGAGCTCATCTAGGGCTGTGCTGTCCAAAAACGTAGCCACTAGCCACATGTGGCTGTTTAAGTAAAATTGAAAATTCAGCTCCTCAGTCATACTAGGCACAGTTCCAGTGCTCAGTAGCCACGTGTGGCTAGTGGCTACCATATGGGAGAGCAGAGATAAAGAAAGTTTTCAGTGAGAAGGTTCTGTTGGATAGTGGTAATATGGGGAGTCAGTACAGATAAAAAGGAGGATGGAGCCCGGGAGCCTTCCTGTAGATGTTAGCAGAGGAAGAGGAACCAGCAAAAGAGACTGAAAAGGAGTGACCATTGAGGCAGGAGGAATCCCAAGAGGAGGATGTCCAGAGGCCTAGTGCAAAAAAGTATTTCGAAGAAGCAGGGAGTAATCAATTCAGTTTGTGACACTGCTGGGTCAAGTAAGATGAAAATTCAATGACTGTTGATTTGGTGACATTGAGGCTATAGATGATCTTGACAAGAGTTGTTTTAGTGGAGCAGTGGGGACAAAATTCTGATTGGCATGAGTTCACGGAAAATGGGAGAGAGACTGGTGTGGTGCACAAATGGAGGAATTAGCCATTTACAGGAGCAGATAGTTCATTTATTATAAGGGGAAAAGGGAGACTGGGTATACAGATAGACATGAAGGTTGACTGGTAGTATTGGTGATGGGAGCATGTGTTTTTTCTTTTTGTGTGTGTGTTTTCTGTTTTAAACTTGAGTTATAGGGGCACCTGGGTGGCTCAGTCAGTTAAGCATCTGCCTTCGGCTTAGGTCGTGATCCCAGGGTCCTGGGATTGAGCCCCACATCG